GAGGTGAAACATCTGACAGACTGGTGTAACACCAACAACCTGATCCTGAATGTCGATAAAACAAAAGAGATCATTGTCGACTTCAGGAACAAAAAGCACTGTCACCCACCTCTCCACATCAACGGCACAGCAGTGAAGACTACAGACAGCACCAAGTTCCTGGGGGTGCATATCACAAGCAGTCTGACCTGGTCCACTCACACGACATCACTATTTAAGAAGGCACAGCAGCGCCTACACTTCCTGCACAGCTCCCCCCTCCCATCCTCAACACGTTCTACAGAGGAACCATAGAGAGCGTGCTGACTAGCAGCATCTCCATCTGGTCGAGAGACTGCCACGCCAAAGACTGGAAGTCTGCAAAGAGTGGTCAGGACAGCAGAGAAGATCATCAGAGTTTCTCTCCCTCCCATCAGAGACACCGCTCAGAAACGCTGCCTGACAAAAGCCCAGAACATTTTGAAAGACCCCACTCATCCTCACCATGCTCTGTTCTCCCTGCTGCACTCCGGCAAGAGGTTCCGCAGCATTAAGAGCAGAACAGCCAGATTCTGCAATAGCTTTTTCCCCCAAGCCATCAGACTGCTGAACAGCAAGTAGACCAGTAACACAGAGATTACATTACGCTGTGTAAAGAGCACATATTTGTTATATAGTATGTCTATTTTATTTATATGTAAGTCTTTATATTTTAAACGCACACTTTATCTTTAATTTTATCAGCACCACGTCACTATTATTTATTTATATGTACAATTTTAGCAAGTTTTTATATTGTCCTGTTCCTGTAAGCCAGTACAACGAAATTTCGTTTTAATAGTACACTCTGTGTCTTGTTGAAATGGCAATAAAGTATGTCTATGTCTATGTCTTATCGATCCGGTCCTTTAACATTACTTTTATCGGTTCTTTTGGAGAAAAAAATAAGGCAAACTAACTAAACAAATTGTGAACAAAACTAACATTGCTTTTTATTTAAATTAAATACATAATATTTCACATCAAAAGAAACAACAATGTTTTAACAAATCGTATTCAATAATGTGATGACAGAATTGTAAACAGAATAGCTGAAACTTTAACAAAATAAATAACTCAGTTACCTCTAATCATTAACCCGTGTTTGTATAATGTAGTTAACTCGGTGTGTTGCTGCTAGCATACATAACACCTGACGTGGAAACGTTACTCGTGGATGGAGCTACAGAGCTACTAGAAAGACAGTCGAACCCGGTGCATTCCTCCGTCTGAATGTGGAGCACTTTTGCTAAATGTTTAGACAAATTGCTCGTGTTACCATCCTTACATGCTAAACTCTTATTCCACTTTTGGTAACCACATCATAAATTACGCGGACGATACAACAGTGGTGGGACTCATCAGGGACAACAACGAACAGGCCTACAGGGAGGAGGTGAAACTTCTGACAGACTGGTGTAACACCAACAACCTGATCCTGAATGTTGATAAAACAAAAGAGATCATTGTCGACTTCAGGAACAAAAAGCACTGTCACCCACCACTCCACATCAACGGCACAGCAGTGAAGACTACAGACACACACCAAGTTCCTGCGGGTGCATATCACAATTAGTCTAACCTGGTCGACTCACACGACATCACTATTTAAGAAGGCACAGCAGCGCCTACACTTCCTGCACAGCTCCCCCCTCCCATCCTCACCACGTTCTACAGAGGAACCATAGAGAGCGTGCTGACCAGCGGCATCTCCATCTGGTCGAGAGACTGCAACGCCAAAGACTGGAAGTCTCTGCAGAGAGTGGTCAGGACAGCAGAGAAGATCATCAGAGTTTCTCTCCCTCCCATCAGAGACACCGCTCAGAAACGCTGCCTGACAAAAGCCCAGAACATTTTGAAAGACCCCACTCATCCTCACCATGCTCTGTTCTCCCTGCTGCACTCCGGCAAGAGGTTCCGCAGCATTAAGAGCAAAACAGCCAGATTCTGCAATAGCTTTTTCCCCCAAGCCATCAGACTGCTGAACAGCAAGTAGACCAGTAACATAAAGATTACATTACGCTGTGTAAAGAGCACATATTTGTTATATAGTATGTCTATTTTATTTATATGTATGTCTTTATATTTTAAACGCACACTTTATCTTTAATTTTATCAGCACCACGTCACTATTATTTATTTATATGTACAATTTTAGCAAGTTTTTATATTGTCCTGTTCCTGTAAGCCAGTACAACGAAATTTCGTTTTAATAGTACACTCTGTGTCTCGTTGAAATGGCAATAAAGTATGTCTATGTCTATGTCTTATCGATCCGGTCCTTTAACATTACTTTTATCGGTTCTTTTGGAGAAAAAAATAAGGCAAACTAACTAAACAAATTGTGAACAAAACTAACATTGCTTTTTATTTAAATTAAATACATAATATTTCACATCAAAAGAAACAACAATGTTTTAACAAATCGTATTCAATAATGTGATGACAGAGCTACTAGAAAGACAGTCGAACCCGGTGCATTCCTCCGTCTGAATGTGGAGCACTTTTGCTAAATGTTTAGACAAATTGCTCGTGTTACCGTCCTTACATGCTAAACTCTTATTCCACTTTAGGTAACGAGCATTGTCCACATCGAGACGGCTATAGTTTAACCACACCTCGGAGCGCGTTCTCTCCGCCATCTCCTCCGTGTGTGTGTGTGTGTGTGTGTGTGTGTGTGTGTGTGTGTGTTGCTGCATGCAGCAGCTGCGTGTGTGTAAACTGCCCCGCCCCCTCGCACACAGACGGGGGAGAGATCTCTTAAATGGAGTTGGCGAGACTTAAACTGCAATGTAATGTTTGTGTAGCAATAATACATACAACATATATCGGGGCACAGGTTGTTTATCCTTGACAGTCGCACAGTGGGCACACACTGAGTGTTTTCATGTTCAGCAAATGTGTACACGCTAAACTGCAGACCTCAAGAAGAAATAATACTTTAATTCACTCACGGCAAAAGTTACTTTACTTACTATAAAAACTCACGGTAAAAAAATGTACTCCCTATTCCATTGTCATGAAGGTGGAATCTAACTATATCCAGAATAAGTTTTATTGAATCCAGGCTAGAAACATGTTTATTTCTGCTGTAAAGTTGGGCATTTTAACATGGGGTCGATGGGAATTGCTCCTTTTTGCATCCATCCCCTGTTGGCCACTAGATGAACTGCAGTTATGGCACTTCCTTCTGGGCTTCCCGGCTCTGCGCTATGAAGCGCTGATTGGCTGTGGGTGGGCCAGACGTGCATGTGGGTGGGCCCAGGCCCACCCGGGCCCACCCACAGCTACGCCGCTGCGTACACATGCCGCAGTTGTTGCGTGGCTGTGTCTTTAGTTGAAAGCCCAGTGGCGATCTGTTCATGACTGTCATACTGATCATACAGTCAATAACTTTGTTGTTATTAGCATCTGGTTAGCTAGCTATGCTAACGAATATAAGAAGCTTTTTCTACAACCAGTGAGGTAAAGGCACATCTTTATATGATCATTATAGTTATCAAAAAATAAGAGAATAAAGTAAACAGGTATAAAATACTATATGACTGTAAAAAAAGTTGTTAATTAATAAACAAGAATACAGTTTTTTTTTTAAAATAAAAATAAAATCTGTTTACAGTTCTGTTTCATATGGATGTTGAGAGATGTATCCATAGATCTCCTAATGTTGCTCTCAAAGTGCACCAGATTGATGCTTTTAACTTCAACATTTAAAAAACAAATCTTCCCGGGGGCGCATGCCCCCCGGACCCCCCTAGAGGAGGTTAGGTCCCCCCCCCACTTAAATAATGTCCACATGGATAGGATACTAAATACATTTGCACACATCATGTGTCCATATCTTTCTGTTTTGGTGGCCATGCCACAACCGTGCACGTGCATGCATGCGTACGCGAGTCATGGTAAGATATCTGGATTAAGAGGTTGCTTTTTCTTTGCAGAGCATGAAAGAAAGGCGAAATGAATGGGCGGTGATTTTAGTATTTTTAAGCAGAGGTCAATAATTTGTACGGCCCTCGGAGGATGTTGAAAAAATTGAAATGGCCCTTGAGAGGAAAAAGGTTCCCCACCCCTGCAGTAGACGAACACATTACCAATATGAACCTGAAATGAGAATAATAAGGCCCCTTTAACCAAATTAAACAGATTGATTATTTTATATTTTGATAATTGTTTTATTTTTTAAAAGGTCTGGATCTGTACCAAACAAATATGTCTATTTAAGTTTGTATAATATGATTAGTAGCCAGGGATATCTTTGCAGCTCCACAATACTTCATTAATTTTTTTTTTTGTACTATTGTTAGAATTCATAATTAACTTCAGAGTAACCAATGTCTGTAAAGGGACATTTCCAGGCAAAGGATGAAGTAGCAAGATGATTTAATTCAGTGCACTAAGCAGTGTGTGTGTGCCTCAGCCTGTCACTCGTGGATGATGAAAACATCTGCAAACGTGCGTTTGAGACGTGTGTGTGTGTGTGTGTGTGTGTGTGTGTGTGTTGTGTGTGTGTGTGTGTGTGTGTGTGTGTGTGTGTGTGTGTGTGTGTGTGTGTGTGTGTGTGTGTGTGTGTGTGTGTGTGTGTGTGTGTGTGTGTGTGTGTGTGTGTGTGTGTGTGTGTGTGTGTTTGTTTCTCATTGATGAAATATAACATTACATTACATGTCACTTGTTAGACGCTTTTATCCAAAGTGACTTACTTACTCAATACTGTGGACAATCCCCACAGGAGCAATTTGTGGTGAAGTGTCTTGCCCAGGGACACAACGACATGCTGACTGCAGTGGTGTTCGAACCTGTGCTCCCCTGATCCAAACACCAACGCACTAGCCCACTGCGCCACACGCAGGGACTTGTGCATATTTCAAACCGCATATGTCTCTTTGGTCTCTTTCACACACATTGATACATCCTCACATTCCGCTCATTACTGTTGTTGGCACTAAGTTTATTAATGGGACATTTCCTTTTCTGTCTCGCAGAGTCTTCGATCCTGTCGTTCGACGGCAGCATGTACATGAAGGTGGTCATCCCAAACGTGATGCACACAGAGGCGGAGGACGTCTCCCTGCGCTTCATGTCTCAGCGTGCGTTCGGGCTGCTGATGGCCGCCACGTCCCGCGAGTCTGCGGACACTCTGAGGCTGGAGCTGGACAGCGGGAGAGTCAAACTGACGGTCAACTTAGGTATCGTATAAACCGTCCCCTTAACCCCCCCTCCAGTCCAAGAGGAGGCCTTACTGTCTTTGTGTTTTCTTTTCTTTTTGGGTCCAGACCTAACACACACTAAACCAGTTTTTTCGTAGTTTGTCTTTGTAGTTGCATGTCTTGTTTTGCCTGAACTGTACGTTTTTTCTGCCTTGATGCTTTAGACGTCTTTGTAGATTTTTATATCCATTAATCTTACAAGAAACACAGCTATCCATGCTCTGTAGTACATCTTTTGAACACATCATTCTTTTTTGTGCACAAATACATTTCACTTTTTTGGAAATTCCTCACACATGCATTCAGTCTGACAACATGTAAGCTAATATCCTACAATCTACTTAGAATAACAGATTATTGTTGTACATCCAAGTGCTCTAATAGTATGCATTCTTATGTGGGTCTGTTCCAGTGGTCTGTCTTTTATCTATTTTGATATTATTTCTCCCATGATAGCAGGTCCATGTCTCTCTCCGTCCATTAGTAACCCTGGCATCTCCCATGCCTTGTTCAAAGATGGCACTCACCCCTTCAAAGGCCCCGAAGCCTGCGGCCCGTCTGGCAAACAGCCCGATGCCACCGCACCCAGCGCGCTGCAGTAGAGGGAAAATCCCCACAAAACACATGTGAACATACAAAATATCTCATATATCTTTCTATAAAAGGCATTTTAATTGGTAACCACAGCTGCCGGAACACCTTTAATCAACTTTTAAACGTTTTTTTGCCAAAGATTAAAAAGACCTGTAGAAATGAAAATGATATTCCAACTACACACACACAGGACCCTCTTTGAGAAGGTTTTTTATGCATCTGTACGTGTTGGTGCTGCGTGGCTCGAGACTGTTTGTTCCCACTTTTCTGTTGCGGTTGACGGCACATGACCAGCCTGGTCACATGGATTTCAACATGCACCTGGCAAACACAAGTTCAATAGATGGAGAAACAATTCATGTTAAAAAAAAAGCTACATTTTAAAATGTATTTTTGCTTTATTTGCTGGGTTGCAAAATCGATGTGGCCATTGAGTTGCAAGCGACTATTTAAAAAATGAAACTACATACAAAAATAATACTTTTATGATGCTATTAGCGTATCTAATTGGCCATCTAATATCAGCCATTATTGGTGCAATATTATTGACTTCAGCTTTTAGAGTAATCAATTGGATTTGGATTCAATTGGATTTCCAGTATCAGTATAAGGACTAGGTGAAACATGGCTGCCAGGGTCATGTGACCGTCCCCGGAAGGTGGCTTTTCTTGCTCTTGGTTGTCTGCAGCTGTAACCTTGAAGGATGCGATTTCATCTGTCACTTATTCACTTATTCTCCCCCCTCCCCATCTAGACTGTGTCAGGATAAACTGTAACACCAGTAAGTCAACACTCTTCTTCTGCAGCCTTCTTCTTCCTACACTGTGTGGTTTTATAGCCTGTGTGCTAGATGTAAGGGCAGGAATGTGTGAATGCCGGGGACTGATAAGAGGATTTCTCAGATAAGAGGGTGGGGGAAAGTAATAGCCAGAGATTAAAGTTATGCAAATCTGACTTAATGTACTCTATATATTTTAATAGCACACTTCTTAAATTGATTCAGGCACCTAGTTTCTAATCTTTCCCTGTATGCTCATAGCTGCTAGCTTTTAGACCCTACGGGCTATCTTATATGTTTTCCCAATTATACAGTAATATATTGCTGTTTCTCACTCGCTTTGTTTTCCTGCCCTACTGTAAGTATACATACTGCAGTATATAGGCTTCTAATGTGATATACTATATATAAGGTGTCAGGAGACATGCTGTTACTCATGAAAGGGACTGTTATTTTGTATTTTGTTCAAAAGTGCCCACAAGGCTTTTAGAGAGAATTATAAAGCTGAACAAAGGCTTAAAAGTAAGTCCAAGTATGTGTTAGATTCGTTTTTTTTTCTTTCATAATAATACAAATAATAATAATAATAATAATACAGTACATTTGAATAGACATATGCTTCAGAATTCTAGGAAAGGGAATTGTTCATTTTATTTAGAATTTAATTTATTTGCCTTTAAATGTATATATATATATAAATGTATATATATATAAATGTATATATATATATATAAATGTATATATATATATATATATATATATAAATGTGTATATATATACAGGTATATTCATTTAAATGTCTTTTTTTGTTATAGTTTATCATTTGAGTTAGTCTTTTTTATTCAGAAAGACTACATTTTTATCACAGCATTTAACAGAAGCTTGGATACAAACTACAATATGCCAAAAATGAATAATAGTTCAATCGTAGATTTAGACTTGAGTAACAAAGAGGATGCTTCTCTGTATACTGAAGTTTGCACTACACTTGTATTTTTCTATAGGCCTAGAGTAACAGTACGAGTTTAGTCACTAATTAAAAATCCTAATTCTAGTCTCCAAATCACTTCAAGTGACCACTGATGAACACTTGAACCTTATGTTAAACGTCTTCCAGCAGATTCAGGATTCTGACTCCATGGGGCGAGGCTGCCTTCTAGTGGTTTGTTTTAGGAATGACTTACACAATATCTGTAGGCCTCTTGTCGTACAACTAGAATACAAAACTAGAAAATACAAATTAAGAGAATATAAGCAACGGAAAGAAAAACTGTTCTGATCATTTTTGACTGATGTGCAATAACAATATAGGAGTAATTGATCATTTTTGCAACACATTTATTGCCAAATATATCAATTTTATCGTGCTGGGATTTTTTAAAGATGATCTGTAACAAACATATATGTAATAGTCACATCGTTTGAGTCCTCGTATGAGTAACAGCAAATGTTTTCTTTAATTTAGTTGTCAGTTGTGATTTATTGTATTTGTTGTTAAATACAAAAAAAGGTACATGTAGCACTGCTTAATCTGCAAATGATAAAAAAAAAATGTATGACTACACATTAGTTCCAATTAAAAAAAATAAAAAATCCTGGTTGATTTATCAGCTGTCTGTTTAATCAGTTGTGAAAACAGATGTTGTTGGTGCTTGGTCCCCCCCCCCTTGACTAACTAACCCTCCTCTTCAGGCAAAGGTCCTGAGGTTCTGTATGCCGGACAAAAGCTCAACGACAATGAGTGGCACTCAGTGAGAGTGGTCCGCCGCGGTAAACACTTCAAACTCACTGTGGATGACGACATGGCTGAAGGTATTACTCCCGTGAATAAAATCCATAATGTGCATGATCATGTCGTTTAATTGTTCTTATTTATTTGTTGGCGGTAGGGATGGGAATTTGAAAACGGTTAACCGATTAACCGAAATGTACATATCCTATAGAAAAACTAAAAATGTGGGAACATTTTTTACAAAGAAAAAAAAAAAAATCTTCAAATAAGTATAGGAACCAAGTCGAATTTGTCAAATGTATTGAACTGTTGACCACACTTTGAACAGTTGACAGCTATAGGCCTACAGCTTTCATGTTTACAACATAACTTGGTTTTTAAATTAAAGAGGGATCATACACGAACAACATAACGGGTTAGGGTAACGTAACCCTATTACAACAGTGATCAACAACCTATAACAGGGCCTATGCACAGAATGCAGCTATTCAATTATCATTCTTGTTTAAGAATATGAGCATGTCTACTCAGGGGAGAGGCGGGTGCGGAGGCCATTGACAATCAGGCCAGCTGTAGAGAAGACCCTCTCAGCTGGAATTTGGGCATAAGATGAGGTTTGAGTCTGCGTGTAGCGAGGGGCAGCAGCCATATCATTAGCTAGAACTAGCTAGATCTGATGGATTCGGACATAAACGCGAGTGAAGTATAACCGGACGAGAGAGAGAGAGATCAGCACCTGCAGCTCTGCCCGCTGTGAGGGACCGGTGAGCGGAGCAAAACACACCTTTAGACCTAACACACTTAGCTATGGCACTGTCATATACATTGAATTATTCCATTTGATCATATGTAATCAACTTAGGCACCCCTCCCAAAAATAAAAATAATAATTACAATCAAAATATTCATAACTCATATTCGAATACCTGAATCATTTCGAATATTTGATTAATTGTTCCCATCCCTAGTTGGCGGGCAGTTGTAATCCTTATAGCTGGTGTTTTCGTCTTTGTGTTTTGCCAATTTTTAAGGCGCAGACATATACTCATGTATCTCTTCCTTTGGTTTCACCTTTTGTTGGAAAACTATTTCTTTCATGGTTCTTTTGCCTTAACTTGACTGTCGGTGGTAGAGTTATTGCATCAGCCTGACACAAAGTGAAACTGGGCTGTTGCTGGTTTGAAGGTTAGGTTGCAGTATCCTCCCTCTTCCTCTTCCACCCCTCATCCCTCCGCTTCTTCTCCTTTCTCTTCCCTCCATCTCAGGTCAGATGGCGGGCGACCACACCCGCCTGGAGTTCAACAACGTGGAGACGGGCATCTTGACCGAGAGACGCTTTGTCTCCTCTGCTCCCTCCTCCTTCATCGGGCACCTTCAGGTAAAAAGTGCAATACATCACAACGCTACAGAAAAATCCTTTCAACAAATGTTAGACACTGATTCAGTCATGTTCCAAAGAGGAGGGGACGTAAGTCACAATTATTTATAATCTCAATTAATACTCAAAGACACTTTATATTTTATCTTCAGATGTCACTAATATTATTTACTAGAAATGTCACTTTTCAGTCAGTATTAAAGGAATGGAATATGCATCTATTATTTTAAGGATAATCCTCTGGGCTTTGAAATACATTTATTTCCTTTGATTGTGTTTACTCAAACACAATGTGTGGCAACTTCTCTTACAACGTTACCATGGCAATCTTGATTCAATTAAGTTCAAGTTCCTCATTTCAAGCTGTAGGGCTGCTTGAAATGAGGAAACTGTGCAATTACTTAGTTTCATATTGTTACAACGATATTACCTAATAGTTTAATGAAAGATAATTACAGATATGAAAGTGTACTTGGTTCAGCCTTGCTGCTGCTTCCAATGTGTTGCTGTAAGATATCCAAAATGATTTTATGAAATATTCAATTTAACATTATATTACATTCCATTACATTGCATTTAGCTGACGCTTTTATCCAAAGCGACTTACAATAAGTGCGTTCGACCTACAAAATACAAACTTGAAGAAAACAGAATCATATAAGTACATCAGGCTTCATAGAGCAAAAACATTTCAAGTGCTACTCAACTGGCTTTAGATAAGCCAGCCCTTTATTAGTATATAAGTGCTTTGTTAATAGTTCTATCGCTCGAAGTGGAGTCGAAAGAGATGAGTTTTCAGTCTGCGCCGGAAGGTGTGTAAGCTATCTGCTGTCCTGATGTCAATGGGGAGCTCATTCCACCATCTTGGAGCCAGGATAACAAACCCACGTGTTTTTGCTGATGGGAACTTGGGTCCCCTTCGCAGCGAGGGTGCAGCGAGCCGTTTGGCTGATGCAGAGCGTAGTGCACGCGCTGGAGTGTACGGTTTAACCATGTCCTGGATGTAGGAAGGGCCAGATCCATTCGCAGCATGGTACGCAAGTACCATTGTCTTGAAGTGGATTCTAGCAGTTACCGGAAGCCAGTGAAGGGAGCGGAGGAGCGGCGTGGTGTGGGAGAATTTAGGAAGGTTGAAGACCAGGCGAGCCGCTGCATTCTGGATGAGCTGCAGAGGTCGGATGGCACATGCAGGTAGACCAGCCAGGAGGGAGTTGCAGTAGTCCAGGCGTGAGATGACGAGAGCCTGGACCAGAACCTGCGTCGCTTTCTGGGTCAGCTGGGGACGTATCCTCCTGATGTTGTAAAGCGTGTATCTGCAGCAGCGGGTTGTAGCAGCGATGTTTGCAGTGAAGGACAGGTTGTTATCTAGGGTCACACCCAGATTCCTTGCAGTCTGAGTCGGGGAAACAACAGAGGTGCCAATGTTGATTGTTAGGTCAAGAGTGGGACAATCTTTTCCCGGAAGGAAAAGCAGTTCAGTCTTGTCAAGGTTGAGCTTGAGGTGATGATCAGACATCCACTGAGAGATGTCAGCTAGACAAGCAGAGATGCGTGCGACGACCTGGGTCTCTGAGCGGGGAAAGGACAGAATTAATTGGGTGTCGTCAGCGTAGCAGTGGTATGAAAAACCATGCGGGCTAATGACTGATCCGAGCGAGTTTGTGTACAAGGAGAAGAGGAGGGGACCAAGAACAGAGCCCTGAGGGACCCCTGTAGTTAATTGACAAGGGTCGGACTCGGACCCTCTCCAAGTAACCCTGTAGGTGCGGTCTTTGAGGTATGAGGTGAGGAGGGAAAGTGCAGAGCCTGAAACTCCAAGTTCTTGGAGAGTGTGAAGGAGGATCTGATGATTCACCGTGTCGAATGCAGCAGACAGGTCCAAAAGGATGATGACCGAGGAGAGGGAGGCTGCTTTAGCAGTGTGCAGTTCCTCAGTGACAGCAAGGAGGGCAGTTTCTGTGGAGTGACCTGCCTTGAAACCAGACTGGTGCAGATCCAGAAGGTTGTTCTGATGGAGATAGCAGGAGAGTTGTTTAAAGACAGCGCGTTCAAGTGTTTTAGACAGGAACGGGAGGAGAGAGACAGGCCTGTAGTTTATAACATCTGACGGGTTGAGAGTGGGTTTCTTTAGGAGAGGGTTTACTCTTGCCTCCTTGAGACTGTTTGGAAAGTGACCAGAAGTTAGAGAAGTGTTGATGAAATGGGTGAGAAACGGTAGAATATCAGGAGCGATAGTCTGAAGGAGGTTTGAAGGGATAGGGTCCAGAGGACAGGTGGTAGGGCGGGCAGAGGTAATGAGGGTAAGAACCTCACTTGGAGAGAGAGGGGAAAAGGAGGTAAGTGTGTTGGTGGAAGGAGGGTCTGGTGAGTAGAGGTGAGTCAGAAAAAGAAGAGCGAATATCATCAACCTTTTTTTCAAAGTGGTTAACAAAGTCGCTTGACAGAAGTGAGGAGGGGGGAGGGGCTTTGGGAGGGTCCAGGAGGGAGGAGAAGATGGAAAATAGTTTTTTGGGATTGGAATAGGAAGATTGGATCTTATCTTGAAAGAAAGTGCTTTTTGCCTGAGAGATCGAAGCAGAGAAAGAGGAGAGGAGAGCCTGATAGGTTAGGAGGTCGTCACGGTGTTTGGATTTCCACCATTTCCGCTCTGCTGCCCGAAGGACGGTTCTATTAGCACGCAGTGCATCATTGAGCCAGGGAGCAGGAGGGGACTGACGAGCCTGCCGAGATGTGAGAGGACAGTGAGAGTCTTAAAGTCTTAAAGTGCAGTTTTCTACTTATGCTATTTTTAACATGATTAAAGAAGTCCATATCGCATTTTTCCACAATGCGTTTACTAGATAAAATCAAGATGACGTTTAAAAAAAGAATATACTGTGCTACAAAGTGTTCTTTCTCATATATGTACCCCATGTACACACACTTCTCTCCCCACAGAGCCTTAAGTTCAACGGCATGCAGTACATCGACATGTGCAAGAACGGCGACATCGACTTCTGCGAGCTGAACGCACGCTTCGGGATGCGCTTCATCATCGCCGACCCCGTCACCTTCAAGACCAAGGGCAGCTACCTGGGCCTGGCCACTCTGCAGGCATATACCACAATGCACCTCTTCTTTCAGTTCAAAACCACCTCGCCTGACGGATTCCTCATCTTCAACAGCGGAGACGGGAACGACTTTATCGCCGTAGAGCTGGTCAAAGGGTGAGGATGAGAGGATGTGCAAAGGATGTTTATTCCATTGCTCTAGTCAAGAGATAAAATAGCCATTATTAATTTACTCAAATCCAAATCTCTGATGCACCTTTTACAAGCTTGTCAAATCAAAATGATCGCCATACTGCAGGTACAGTTATTGGTCTTCATCAGTTGAAATCCCATTGCTATCAGAGTAGCATGCTACTTATGAAGTGTTACAACAGCAAAGGTACAGTGCACATAAAAGGCAAACGACTTGGTAGCATTTTAAAAAAAGTAAGTGAACATGTATTGAAAACCCCAATAACATTAACAACATGTTAAACACTTGTAAATATGAAGTGTATATTGCACCATTTGCATCAGTTTGGTATTGCTCAGTGTTAACAGTCTACTGGCATCATAAGACGGAGATGATGGAGATATGTGAAATGGAACTCTCCGATAAGCTTTCCATAGATTTACAATAGTGGCCGAGACACTTAACATTAATTATATACAGTTTATATTAATAGCACATCTTAAATTGGAGAGAAATGAAGTAGTATACGGAAACATTACAAGCAGAAACATACCCAACATAAGGGTTAGAAATCTAAATGAACCTAACCTAACTTTAATGGTCCCAAAACATTTTGTTTACACATTGGTTTAGAATAGGTAAGATATAATAATCACAGACGCATAACAGAGAAAGCCAATGGTATAAAATAAGTGCATTTCAGATTAAAATCTACTTGTTTAGAAGTCCGAGACTATTTAGTGTATTTAGGACTGGACATATTAGACAGTTTTGCAGTTTTCTCCAGAAGAATATCTTCACTAACAAAGTTCCTCTCCTGCAGGTTTATCCACTACGTGTTCGACCTGGGGAACGGGCCCAGTCTGCTGAAGGGGAACAGCGAAAACCAGCTGAGCGACAACCAGTGGCACAACGTGGTCATCACCAGAGACGCCGCCAACACACACACGCTCAAGGTGGACTCAAAGTCCGTCACGCAGAATGTCAACGGAGCCAAGAACCTCGACCTCAAAGGTACCACAGCCTCGCTTTTTCAGAGGTTTGAATAAACCACTTCATGAATGTCAGAGATTAGAATACAACCCTACAAGAAAAAGTCAAGACTCTACTCCATCCCTTGGTCTTTCATATTATTGACACATTACCTGTTTAAGAGTATAACTTTTTTCTCATACTCAATTTGTACAATTAATATTGAGAAGAGGATCATCCAACTTTTTAGATTTTTGAAAACATTTCACTTTGTTTCTAACATAAAAAGATGGTGATTGCAATGTTGCAAACATGCATGATAATTTCCCCAAAATACATACCCATCCAATACAAATAATTCAATATCTGTCTAAGTATACTTACTGTTACTTAAGGTTTTGAATGGGATTCAAATTATTGAAGGAAAGGCAACTTTTTTACGAAATAATTGTCACACCCGTAAAAATGTGTGACATTGTAAAACACACCGATTTGATCCAATGGATTGTGTGGAACAAATTAAGATCAATTGTACCAATCAAGTAATCTAGCCTGAAAACATAATCAGTATATCTGTCATCAATATTAAACACTCAACTGGACCTGATGGTTAAGTTATAATATTCATCACAAAAACAGACCCTATATGTGACCCTAGTATTTATTCAAATCACTTATTACTCTCATCTCGTCCCTCTACAGGTGACCTGTTTATCGGGGGTCTGGGGCCCAACATGTACCAGAACCTCCCGAAGCTGGTGGTCTCTCGGGAGGGCTTCCAGGGCTGCTTGGCCTCGGTGGATCTCAACGGCCGCCTGCCAGATCTCATCAACGACGCCCTGTTCCGCAGCGGGCAGATTGAGCGTGGCTGTGAAGGTACAGACGGCCCTTAGCGAATAAGAGTCATGAAGCCGCCTGAGATGTATTAGTCTAATTAGAAGGTTCCTCTGAAGCCCCTTAAAGCCACTCGCTGGCAGTGTTAATTCCACCTATTTTTCTTTTCCTGCGCCAGGCATAACAAGAAGCTACTATTTTTTTGGCTTGTTAACTTTTTATGTTGCATCAATATTTTTTAAGTTAAGCAGGGGTACTCAAACCTGAACAAAATATTAGAAAATATGTGTTTTCACAATATAAACTCAAATGAAAGTTACAGAAGCTAAGGTATTTTTTTTAAATGCTAGATTTAGAAACACCCAAATATTTACTGACTTTTTCCCTTCTCCAGCATCTACCATTTGCATTTTAATACACCAATGATGTGGCATTTGTACAGCAATACAATAATTCATGTTATATCTGATGTTGTTAATATAATTACAAGTCAATATGCTTTGGCTCAAAACTGTTTAGGGCTGCACGATATGGAACAAATATAACAAATGTAGACTTTATTTACAATTACAATATCATTCATGATATTAGAGGGATTGATCATTTAGCATTATTATTCTCATTATCATTGAAAAACATTTAAAATGATCATGTTGATATATTTTTAAGAGGATCTGTAGCAAACAAAGATATGTTATTAACTCCGTAGAATGCAATGTGTACACTGGATATACATGCAGCTCCACTATGTTTCAATCAACATATTATTTACAAATATTTGGGATTAAAAAAATATTGTGCTTTCTGCAATTTCAATATTGCGATTAAATGTAGATTAATGTGCAGAACTACTCTCTACTGTATATAAGATATTGTTTATTCTTACTCTTCTAATTTAAATGATATTGTGTCTAAATACATGATGGGTGTTTCTCAATCGCGAGGATGCTGGCTTGGTAGTCGCGTACTTCCAAGTCACTTCCTTCAGAAACGAAGCAAGTATGCTTCCAAGCCACGGCTTCGGAAACGAAGAAGAATGGAACAGGCTAACAAGTGTGCCACTCTCTCTAACGGTTTCAACATAAACTGTACCGAAAATAAATACCTCACGATGTCTATCTAATTATGAACTTGCTTTACTTTCACGGAACACATTTTTGGTGATAACAAACAAATGTAACAAAGTAACATATTTACCTACACATGTTCTACGCCACTATTTCGGTTCAGCAATTCTCCGCAAGGGTTTTTGAAATTGGTCCGTGCGCAAAGCATTGTGGGGATTTTAAGGACGCGAAGTCTACCCATGTGCAGCCTCGAAATTACCCCCAAACCAAGGACGCGGCCTCGGTGGAATTCCAAGTATGCTGGAGATTGGAACAGTCCTTCGGCGGCACTCGATGACGTAGCATCCTTGAGATTGAGAAACGGCCGATGTCTCCTGTGCACTGTACAGACTTCTGCCTGTGACCTCTAGAGGGCAGCAGACGTTTGTAATAGGTTGTGTACAGTGGCAGTGATTTTCAAAGCAACTTTAATACCTTATTTAACAAAGAAAACACCACTGGGTGAGATATTTTCCAACCCTCACTAACAAACCAACAACAAGAAGTTGCCAAGGTGACAAACTTTGTGAAACTTTTTTTTACGAACGCTAACAATGCTGCTCCCTCACTAACCTTTACCCTTGTTTTTCGCTCTGCTCTGTTCTGTTTGTTATTTTCTTTCTGCGCTAACAAAGTTGGTTTCACCAAAGCCGACCTGCAAGGTAGAGGGTCAATCTCAGCCTCTCTGAGGCCTGCTCGCCTGAAAGTCTGCTGTGTGCAATGCATCGTGGGTGTCACCGTGGCAGTAATGTTCCCTGGGTGCCGCGGAGGAGGTTACCTGCTCTCTGAAAACAGAAAAGTTGATACTAAGAGAGAAAGAGAAAGACAGACTAATGGAAAAAATATCTGTTATTTGTTCCACAATGAGGAGCATTGTTACGGCAAAGGAAAAACAACATCAGGTAACTGCACTCTGATACTATGGCCCGATTCCAAACCAACCCCTAAGCACTCCCGCTCAAGTTTTGGGACAAACTCCCATCCCTCCGGCAGAAACAAGAACTTTCATAAATATTCGTAACGTAATTCTTCCACATCTGCATCTTTCGGACAAAAATGTATAAAGATAAATTACAATAAAACTCCCAAAAACTGTAATGGCATATTTCTTTTTTTGTAAGCCGCTTTTGTTTTTTAAATCGGATGTTTGTGAGCTGCAGTTCCTGTGAATATATAAAATGTTACAATCAAATGAACAATTCTACTCGTTTGACTAGACCCGCATATAATATAAATATAATGTTACCTTCAAGTTAACATCTGTATGACAATATTAAATGTCTTAATTTGCGCTTTTTACTGGTAAATGTTTGCGCGGAACTATGTGTTTCTTATATACACAAGCACCGTGGCACCTTGTCATGCTAGTAGGCCTATAGCATTGCTGCTGTGTTAATGTAGCCATACATATGTTTGTTTACATATGATGCTAGCACTTCTACCTGTAAATAAGAGTCGGATAAATGTTATTATATAATATTGTCCTCCCTGCTAACCTCGAGGCTAAGTGTTTCCATATTTGATAAAGTTACAAAGAGTACACAGAGTGTGGGAGTGCTGTGTTCTTCTGTGAAATGCCACATTAGAGGCTGTCACTGCACATCTCAGCACCATCAGACCCCTCTTTCTGTCTCTCTCATGTAATACAAAAAAAATCACATACAGTATGCTGCTTTACCCAGCTGAGTGTTTTTCAGAGTGCGAGTGACCTCCTGCTGAACACTCGGCAAAATCCGTCCAATCCCTTTCGCTGACAAACAAGCACAGAGGCACGCATACCAACACGAGATTCACAATAATGCGAAAGTGTGGAAGACGCCTGGTTGACTCCCAACGCCGTGCATTGCACAGTAAACGCACCTTCAGCTGGCAAACCCGCTCTGTTCTAATGTCTTCTCTTCACATTGTCTCGCACCAGACAATTGACACTTGCATTCGTCCACCATTTTGATTTATTTTGATTTACTTTGGTTTGTTTACAACGTGGTTATCAGAGGGGGTTTCTGTCCCCCCCCCACCTCACGTGTCCGTCTAGACTCCTACATGGGAATTGTTTATCTTGTTATCTATGCTTGTCTTTGTTTGCATTCCCTCTCGGTATAAGTATTCAAAGGTACCAAAGAGCTATGTGTGGTGTAGAGGAATAGCAAACACACATCCAAGTTTGACTTTGAATACCCTCCTCTACTCCTTTCTGACTGAAGTGCATACACGGGGATATGCGCTACGTGTCCTCTTTTTTGTTTCTTTTCTGCTCTTCATGAATTCTGTCTGTTTAGTGTTCACCGTGTATACTCACAATGAGAACATGTTTGGAAAGATAATTTCTAGGGTTAGGGTTAAAAGCTATTATATTTAAAAGGGGTATAGTTTAATTGAGTTAGTATCCATGAGTTAGGTTTAGGATTAAAAACTATTATATTTAAAGGGGTGTAGTTTAATGTAGTTAGTATCTATGAGTTAGGGTTAAACGCTATTATATGTAAAAGGTGTATAGTTTAATTGAGTTAGTATCCATGAGTTAGGGTTAAACGCTATTATATGTAAAAGGTGTATAGTTTAATTGAGTTTGTATCCATGAGTCATTTATTAAAAGGTTTTTTGTTCATGTCTCATCTTGCTTGTCCACAGAGGGAATGCAGCGTGCTAAGTTTTACTCTGATAAAACTTTATAAACTACTTGTTGGAATGATATATATTGCATGCATGTCCACCTGCACACACACACTTAAAAAATAAGGAAATGAAGGGATGTTAACAGTGTCATCACATCGGTCCAAATGTGGTACAATTCGCTGTAGCGTGTCTTTAAACGCAGATTAGAACCGAACTAGCATAGCATCCTTTACAGCAGAGCGAATGCCGATGCTCCCGCTGCTTGAGAAGCATGCTGTTGATCCTGTGAAAACCTAGACGCCTCTGCTTCGGCTTGCCACTGCGTTTGCCGCTTTACTCAGCATGAAACAGGATTCGCCAGACAGTTTTTTTTTTAGTTGTACTCCAGGTCGGGCTTCCTGTGGTGGCACTGTTTACTCCTTGTTGTTTCTTCTAGGCTCACATGATGTATATCTATCTCTAGAGTGCATTTCTTTCTGCATGGGTACTGCATTGTGTAGTCTCAGCAGTAGCTCTTATTGGTTCTTGACTTTGTTCCCGTTGTATCTCTCCCGCCTTCATTCCCCCCCCCCCCCCCCCTACTTACTGCCTTTTTCCAGGCCCCAGTACGACGTGCCAGGAGGACTCGTGCGCCAACATGGGCGTGTGTATCCAGCAGTGGGAGAACTTCACCTGTGACTGCTCCATGACGTCTTACTCAGGGACTCACTGCAATGATCGTGAGTACAATTGAACATTTACCTGTTCTTGGCTTGTATGTGCGTTAAAGGAGGAGTCTTATATCTTCTATGTGTCCTGTGGCTCTGAAAGGAGCTTTATAAAGTTTGAGAAAATGACTCAAGCGGCATCTCTTGAGGTTACATTTTTTTTTATTGGGTTCAATTTGGGCAAAGAATGGCATACACTTTAAAAACTCAAGCTGCATTTTAGAAAAGTAAAAGTGGTAAGTAACGGATCAAATCTTACTTAACCGGTGATGGTTGATATACTCAGAACTTTACTTAAAAGTAAAAGTACAAAATAACACACACATATTTTTCTTAAGTAAAAGTAAAGTATAAGCATCAGAATATACCTAAAGTAAACGGTACAATATACTTCTGGGTAACTAGCTATGTCACCAAGGGATCAATACAGTTTGATCCTTACCTTTAGTATTACATAACACAATATTCTCTGACTATATTCGGTATTATTCATCTGAATCTGAATATTTTAAGTAACTCAAGTTATCATATAAATGTAGTAGAAGAAGCATGAAGTGGGAACCCTTAAGTACCTCACCTCACAAACTCAGTTTTTGTCCACCACTGAATACAAACCATATTAAGAAGTAAAAGTCACAACATCTCAGAAAAATGTATATCTAATATTAAAGTGTTGAAGTGCTCCTTTAACATGTCCATTGAGTCAACCACCCCCCCCCCCCCACCAGCACACACACAAACACTCTACCCAACTGCCATATTTAGCTATTAAAACATAACCATCGTCTGCATGAAGGGTTTAAATAGAAACCACCCATAACCAAGATAACTTGTAGTCATAAAAACTACAATCACACACAGACATACATTGGATTCACCTATGGAGCCGCTGCCATCCTGCATTAAACAGTGAGTACTACATACCCGGCTCAAGGACTCCAAGTCTGATTCCCTCATGTGCTTAATAAGCCTGTGTCGAATTCGCTGTGTGAAAGTGGTGCTGAAAGCTTCATGTGATCTTTAAATGAAGCAACTGAGAGATGCTGACAATTATTTGAGGTGCTTTTTGCTGCAATGCAGGACATTTCTCGTAATAAGTGCTTGATGTTCCGAGCTTTTTCCCGGCTTGGGAGTGACTGCTGATGTGTGTAAAACATCCACTTCTGCCTCTATCGCTTTTTCATCACGCCCTTCAAATAGCTATCATATAAGTGTGAGTTTGTGTGTGTGTGTGGTATCTCTTATCCCCATGACGACAGGGGACTTCCCCTCAGTAATCACGCTTGGCGGTCTTTCATTTAGCGGTTAATAGTCGGGGCATACTGCTGCTGGGCCAGAGTAATGAGGTGATGGAGGCTGTTAGAACAGCTCTGTGAGCGCTGGCATCCCCTAATCATCCGGACCTTTCTGATGTTAGACCCCGGCCGCTGTGTATGACTTCATAGTCACCTCTCAAATGTTCTTCTTTTCCTCTGTCTTTATTGTCCTCCCACCTGACACAATCGTTTCCACGCCCGGCGATCAATCGTCTCCGGCTCTCACTCGGTGATGGGAGCTGTGTGTTTATGTGTTAATTAGTGATGAGAAGCCAGCATTCATCTACTTCCTGGTACTGCATGTGATGGAGTGTGTAATGCATGGAGGTTTCATTGATTTACAATTGACATGGAAATATATCTTAGGAGCTTGGATAGTAACTTATTTTACCTCTCATGACAGCTTTAAGTCAGTTCTCCTTTTGTTTCGTAGATACATAATCACGTATATTAACTTAGCTGTGAATAATAGCATCCTTAAAAAAAGGATTATTTCCTTACATTTTTTGACTTTTTGGTACTTTTCTACTCATTTCCTGTGCTAAGAATCTACACAATCAACATCTAGTTACTCCTCTTGGAATGACCCAATATTCTGATGACAGCATGTGTCTGTGTGAGGTTCCATCAGTGCAGTCCCAGACCACCAGGTGGCAGTAAACCCCCGAGCAGGACCGCACACTGTCCCTCCACACAGGGAGAAAATGAGATGCAATCCCCCGAGCATGAAATCAGCTTTCCTGTTATTTTCCTCCACTGCTTTCCCCTCTTGTGTTTCTCACTCTCTCTGTCTTTATCTATTCTCTATTACAAACACACAACCCATCCAATTTCTGTAGTTATGGATCATACAGAGAATATTGTGCGATTGTACCAACAATGCAAAATACAATCGTACTGCCAGCAGTTTTATTGTCCAATTGAAGCGATATAAACACTGTCTTGCGTGTGGGTTTTTGTACGACTGTCTTTCTATCTGTCGAGCCGAGAGAGAGTTTTTAATTAACAATGTGGGAGTGGAGCTTCTCCCTCTGTTTCCCTCCATCCCTCTGATAGCTGGCAGCAAACATCAGTAATTGTATGCTTCTCTGACTCCGTCTCTAGCCACTGTCCAAATGAAGAAACTTGAGCAAAGTAAAGTAAACATTTCTGCCAGTGAAGCCTCCTCCTCTCGGTCTCATCATTGTTAGCGTCGAGCTTCCCGCACCCCTCTGCACTCCGCTCATTGTAGCCAACAGGGCTGTAGGTGGCGAGGAGAAGAGAAGAAAAACCTTAGCAGGAGGGAAGAAAACAAATATCTACACTCCTTCCATTTATTCTTGTGTACCCCTGCAGCCAGCACTTTGTCACTGCACACCTTTACTTATGGGAACAAGACACAAAGGAGGTCACATTAAGAGCCATTCGGAAAGTCTGGAGGTACATATCGTGCCCGTTTAAAAAAAGAAAGAAAAGGGGGTGTGTCTTTTTATAGCATTTTCATCCTGCTTGGTTCTGGCTCACTGCTTTTGTCATGCTCATCTCCATCTCCCTGTCGTCTCGTATCCATCCCCTTTTCCCTCTCTTTGCCTCCTCTTTCTCCTTCTCTCCGCTCGGTTTTCTTCTGAGCGGACCTCTCCCTGTCAGCTTCTATGAATACAGCATGTTTTCATTTAAATCCAAGGACATGGGAGCTGTGGGCCAAGCAGGAGGAGCAGCGGACACTCCTCTTCCACATCCAGAGCAATTACTCAACTTACGTAATAGAATTATCTCCGCTAAAGGTCGCCGCATTGTTCCAGAGTCAGGAACATGGTAAACAAACAGAGAGAAATAGTGGAGACGGGCGAAAGAAGACGGGCAACAGAACACTGTCAGTTTGATGCTGGCATCGGTAATTGCTTGGATAGATTTAGTGATGAATTTATCTGCCAGTGTATTGATCCCAGCCTACCCTCTGCTGCTGCTCAACCCAATGTCCTTAATTCACTTTTCAAGGCATGCTCAGAGGGCTGTAACCATATCTGGCAACTGCTTACATAAATGACACTGCAGCGGCATTGATTCCTTCACTAACATAAAGGAAAATAATCGTGGCATTCGCCTCTTAGTCCTTTTTTCCCCCTGCACTCTTCGGGGAGAGAAGCGAATAGAGGAAAAATAAAGTACAAAAGAGGTTTTGGGGTTGAGGAACAAGCTGTGTTTGCTCTAGTCCACAATGTTCTTCTCTGGAGAAAATCAACAATGATAACAGCGTTTTCCCCTATTGACTGATGTGTCTGCTCGACAGTAATAAAACCAGAGGGGGGGGGGGGGGGGGGGGGGGAGATAAGGTAGCCACATAATGGCGCTATTCAATTTGACATGACGTCAATGATGAGTGAAGGTTTAAGAAGAAATAAGGGACAAGGCACATAAACACGTGCACGCGCTGCTGGTATCTATAGACCTCTTCATGAATACTAAAGGAGCTTTCATTGGAGCATTGAATAATTTAACCTCCTGTCTCTGTAAATGGGATTAAGTAGCTCGAGCCGGCTACGCTAGCCAACAGGTGTTGGGCATAGGTTAGTTGGCTTTGAAGCACACTCCAGGAACTATGGTGCTTGGCATCGTTTCAGCTGGGCACAGATGTAGTGCTGGCAACTTTCGATAATACATGGATATATTTTTCAGCCGGTGAATGCAATCGATATTAAGATTAATCAGGGAAAGGATGGCAGGGACAAATAGACCTTTTCCCTTCTTCTTCCAAAGGCTTATAGAAAGTTATCTTAGAGTGTGTGAAAGTACCTTTTGGCAAAAGAGGGCTTATAAGTGGAGCAAAGAAATATGGGAACATTTGCCTATAAATACCACAGGTAGTTCAGAAATGGGCCAAAAGAGTTCCATAGAGAGTGATTTATTTCTTCAGGGCACAATCCATCCTAAAAGCACACATTAGAATGATCTCACTCTTTTTGTTGTTGTCGAACAATTTGTCTAGAGACGACTGAGGCATCACATGATCAGGTGGCTTGAACAGCCACTTACCAGCTGCCTGCGGAGTCATCACAAAGGGATGTGTTTTGGATGATGGAGGTTGTCTGCTTTGAGGAAACTGCTCCTGTTGTTGTGGATCTGTGGCTAGAGGAGAAGTGTAATTACCCAACATGAAGCCAGTGGATTTGCCCGAAACGCATACAAGAGTACACAAACATAAAGTTGTCCCTTCAAGGATTATAATCTCTCTATCACTTTATCACTCCTTCCCTTTGTTTTATGATATCTGAATTAGAGCGGGAGCTGCATGTCCAGCCCTTGGGGGGTCTAACGAGCTGCCCTGCTATTGGCTGATCAGGCTAATGATGCTTGCCCAGCACTGCATCATGTCACTGTGATAAGAGTGGATGTGTCAATCGATGTGTCACCGCCGTGCTCAGAGCCGCGGTATGATTGGATATACGCAGCGCTGTGGAGCCTAAAAGCCCCAGGGCTAGAAGAAAATGTAAAATGGGTAAAAATATGAAGAAGGAAGAGAGAGGGAGATGTTACTCCTCATGAGTGTCAATAAATGGCAGTGTTGAAGAAATGTACAGTTTTCAATATTCTCCAATCATTTTTTTTATTCTCATGTGTGAATATATTTCTGTATTTCTAAGCCATAAATCTGAATGTGGGGTTATTCGCTGGTAGTTGACATAAAGCTGCATTTCTAATATTTCTGTATAAATAATG